TCGTGTCTTACTTCTGTTACCTTGTCATAAAGCTCCAGAAGGTTTGTGATACACAATTTGCCTTCCATGAACCCATGCTGGTTTTCATTTATAATCTTGTTCCGTTCTAGGTGTTCCATCACTCTCCTCCTGATAATCTTCTCCGTGACTTTGTACACAATACATGTCAGAGACACAGGTTTTTTAGTTTAGTGCCTCATTTCTGTTTCCTTTCTTAAATATGGGGACTACATTTGCTGTCTTCCATTTCTCAGGTAGTTGCCCAGTTTCAAGGGATGTGTTGAAGATTGTGGTTAGGGGCACGCACAGCATCTCTGCTCCTTCTCTAAGGACCCATGGGGAGATGTCCGGTCCCATCGCCTTTGAGGTATTAAGGTCACTTAGCAGCTTCTGCACCTCCTCCTCGGTTGTTCGTATGTCATCCAACACTTGTTGATATATTCCCTCTTGATGTTCCCTTCTGTGCTGTCTTCCCAGAGCCCTTCCTGTCTCTACTGTAAAAACTTCCTTAAATCTCCTGTTTAGCTCCTCACATACCTCCTGATCATTTCTTGTGAGTTCTCCACCTTCTGTCCTTAATCTGATCACCTGGTCTTTGTTGTCTTCCTCCTGATGTGGCTATACAACAGTTTCGGGTCAATCTTGATTTTCGATGCTATGTTATTTTCATACTGTCGCTGGGCCTCAGTGTGTACTCACCTAATTGTACTCACCTAATTGTGGTTGCAGGGGTCGAGACTCAGCTCCTGGCCCCGCCTCTTCACTGATCGCTACTAGGTCCTCTCTCTCTCTGCTTCCTGAGCTGTATCATACCTCTTCTCAAAACTATGTATGGTTCCTGCCTCCACTACTTCACTTGCTAGGCTATTTCACTTCCTGACTACTCTATGACTGAAGAAATGCTTCCTAACCTCCCTGTGACTCGTCTGAGTCTTCAGCTTCCAGTTGTGACCCCTTGTCCCTGTGTCCCCTCTCTGGAACATCCTATCTCTGTCCACCTTGTCTATTCCCCGCAGTATCTTGTATGTCGTTATCATGTCTCCCCTGACCCTTCTGTCCTCCAGTGTCGTCAGTTCGATTTCCCTCAACCTTTCCTCGTACGACATTCCCCTGAGCTCTGGGACTAGCCTTGTTGCAAACCTTTGTACTTTCTCTAACTTCTTGACGTGCTTGACCAGGTGTGGGTTCCAGACTGGTGCTGCATACTCCAGTATGGGCCTAACATACACAGTGTACAGTGTCTTGAAACGATTCCTTATTTAAGGTATCGGAACGCTATTCTCAGGTTTGCCAGGCACCCGTATGCTGCAGCAGTTATTTGGTTGATGTGTGCCTCCGGTGATGTGCTCGGTGTTATGGTCACCCCAAGGTCTTTCTCCCTGAATGAGGTCTGTAGTCTTTGTCCACCTAGCCTATACTCTGTCTGCGGTCTTCTTTGCCCCTCCCCAATCTTCATGACTTTGCATTTGGCTGGATTGAATTCGAGAAGCCAGTTACTGAACCACATGTCCAGCCTGTCCAGGTCTCTTTGCAGTCCTGCCTCATCCTCATCCGATTTAATTCTTCTCATCAACTTCACATCATCTGCGAACAGGGACACTTCAGAGTCTATTCCTTCCATCATGTCGTTCACATATATCAAAAATAGCACTAGTCCTAGAACTGACCCCTGTGAGATCCCGCTCGTCACAGGCGCCCACTGTGATACCTCTTCACGTACCATGACTCGTTGCTGCCTCCCTGTCAGGTATTCCCTGATCCATTGCAGTGCCCTCCCTCTAACATGCGCCTGATCCTCCAGCTTCTGCACTAATCTAGGAAAACGCAATCTACCCACCCCTCTCTCTCGTGTCTTACTTCTGTTACCTTGTCATAAAACTCCAGGAGGTTTGTGATACACGATTTGCCTTCCATGAGCCCATGCTGGTTTTCATTTATAATCTTGTTCCTTTCCAGGTGTTCGACCACTCTCCTCCTGATAATCTTCTCCATGACTTTGTACACAATACATGTCAGAGACACAGGTCTGTAGTTTAGCGCCTCGTTTCTGTTTCCTTTCTTAAATATGGGGACTACATCAGCTGTCTTCCATTTCTCATGTAGTTGCCCAGTTTCAAGGGATGTGTTGAAGATTGTGGTTAGAGGCATGCACAGCATCTCTGCTCCTTCTCTAAGGACCCATGGGGAGATGTTGTCCGGTCCCATCGCCTTTGAGGTGTCAAGGTCACTTAGCAGCTTCTTCACCTCCTCCTCGGTTGTTCGTATGTCATCCAACACTTGTTGGTATATTCCCTCTTGATGTTCCCTTCTGTGCTGTCTTCCCAGAGCCCTTCCTGTCTCTACTGTAAAAACTTCCTTAAATCTCCTGTTCAGCTCCTCACATACCTCCTGATCATTTCTTGTGAGTTCTCCACCTTCTGTCCTTAATCTGATCACCTGGTCTTTGACTGTTGTCTTCCTCCTGATGTGGATATACAACAATTTCAGGTCAGTCTTGATTCTTGATGCTATGTCATTTTCATACTGTCGCTAGGCTTCCCTCCTTACCTGTGCATACTCATTCCTGGCTCTGCGACTGATCTCCCTATTTCGTGTGTTTCTCTGCCTTCTGTACTTTTTCCATTCTCTATTGCACTTTGTTTTTGCCTCTTTACACCGTCGGGTAAACCAGGGGCTCGTTCTGGTCTTCCCGTTGTTACTGTTGCCCTTGGGAATAAACCTTTCCACTGCCTCCTTGCATTTTGTTGTTACATATTCCATCATTTCATTTACTGGTTTTCCTGCCAGTTCTCTGTCCCACTGGACCTCCCGCAGGAAGTTCTTCAACCCTATGTAGTCCCCTCTTTTATAGTCAGGCTTTTTCCATTCAACTCCTGTTATTCTCTCCACTTGCAGCTCTACTATATATTCAAAGCACAGAACCACGTGGTCGCTAGCTCCTAGGGGACTCTCATACTTGATGTCCTCAATGTCTGAGTTGCCCAGGGTGAACACAAGGTCCAATCTTGCTGGTTCATCCTCCCCTCTCACTCTGGTAGTGTCCTTAACATGTTGGTGCATGAGGTTTTCCAGCACCACGTCCAACATCCTGGCTCTCCATGTTTTGGGACCCCCATGTGGCTCCAGGTTTTCCCAGTCAATCTCCCTGTGGTTGAAATTCCCCATAACCAGCAACTTTGCTCTGCTGGAGTGAGCTCTTCTTGCCACCTCAGCAAGTGTGTCCACCATTGCTCTGTTGCTCTCTTCATATTCCTCTCTTGGCCTCCTGCAGTTCTGTGGTGGATTATACATCACTGCAATGACCACTTTGTGTTCCCCAGACTGAAGTGTACCTACTATGTAGTCTCTTTCTCCCGTCTCATCTATGCCTTCCATTTTCTCGAATTTCCATCTGTTTTTTACGAGCAGAGCAACCCCACCTCCCCCTCTGCCCCTTCTATCTTTCCTCATGATCTGGTATCCTGGTGGGAAGATTGCATCTGTTGTCTCCTTGAGTTTTGTTTCTGTAACTGCTATGATGTCTGGGGACTTCTCAATGATTCTTTCTTGCCATTCCTCATGTTTTTCGTTAATCCATCTGCATTTGTGCACCAAACCTTCAACTTCTGTTCTAATACTGTAACTGTGGTGCGGGGTGTGTGTGTGTGTGTGTGTGTGTGTGTGTGTGTGTGTGTGTGTGTGTGTGTGTGTAGTTAAATATAATATCCATATTTCTCTCCCTCCACTTTTTTCTTTCCTCTGCCTCCTGTGTAATAATTTATCATGCTTCCGCTCTGGGATGGAGATATCTTCATAGAAGTTCCATTTCACCTGCGTATGGGATATGCTATCCTAAGAGATGGCAGTCACCAAGTGATAGTAACTCAGCTATGCTGGAAGGAACCTTTGCATAGTTAATGAGCTCTTGCTGAAATACTTGATGATATCCTCATTGCCTTGCTGAAGTCTCCCAGCTCAGATTGGCGGATTTCAACACCTTGCATGAGCCCCATCCTGCGTGACGGAAAATGATAGGGGAAAACACAAGTAGCTTTTGGTCCCACTGTAATTATCACACAGAATAGTGCAGCTGCACACTGTTGATATATGCAATTTTGTTTTGTTTAAAAAAAAGATAAATCGTGACACGTAAAGATGCATTAGCCTTAATTAAATAATGAGACGTATGGATGTGTCATCAATAAATAATAGGACGTGCAGATGTGTCATCTTTAAATCATGGGACGTGCAGATGTGTCATCCTTAAATAATGGGACGTGCAGATGTGTCATCCTTAAATAATGGGACGTGCAGATGTGTCATCTTTAAATAATGGGACGTGCAGATGTGTCATCCTTGGGTTAAATCACTGAACGTGAAGAAAAGACATATTGCAAAAAAATATATTGGCTCAGTGTTTTGCTGTATAGAGCTTTATCAACTCACTACTTGATCAAGCGAAACGCCGTCCCAGTCAACGCCTCTTCAGTGAGCTTTGAGTCCTCTTTATTGTTGTTGACTACACACAATTTGCATCCAGATCGAAGAACTTTGTTAACTGCTTGAAGTTACTTTGGATAGTCCAGAAAGTCTCGCTATTACGAGTACGTATATTGAACTCTAGAGAGACTACAACCACAGAACAACAAATAATGAGAGAAAGCAGTGTTAACTTGGGTTTGGTGTAACGCTAAGTGATGTATAAAGCGATGAATTAATTGCAATGTAGAAGAAAGACAGACTCAGTAAAATTAGAGGAACAATGTTCTTAACACTCTTAGTGAACTAAAAGGCACATTACCGTGGCTGGAACAGTACACAGATAACCCGCACGTCGGAAAGAGAAGCTTACGACGAAGTTTTGGTTCGACTTGGACCATTTACAAAGTCACAACTGCGTGACTTTGCAAATTATCCAAGTCGGATCGAAACGAAATGTCGTCGTCGTAAGCTTCTCTCTCCTATGTGTGGGTTATTTGTGTAACTTTCTTGGGGTAAGATTACAAATATGGTTGACATACCTGTGTCTTGCGAGGTTAGAAGACGTGGAGTAGGTCCGTCCGCACTCAGGGCAGACGTGGGCGTCTCGTACAGGTGGGGAAGGTGTGGTGGGAGAGTGGGATGCGGGCGGGGTGGGTGCTGGTGTACGTGGTGGACTAGTGCTGAGGTTGAGTGGCTGGTCGTAGTGTGGCGCTACGGTAATGATGGTGGTGTGGGCATCTAGTTCCAGTACAGGGGTACTGCTTTCTCTCTGCGGAGTGGGCGTCGTCGCAGGTGTGGGCGTGCTCACAAGCGTGGGTGTGTTGTAGCGAGCGGGCAGGTCTTCAGGACGCAAAGCTACCAACCATGGCTTGTCTGCACACTCCAGAGCGATGTCAGCTAGAAGAGTGAGAGAGTCGTGTGGTCCAGCTGGAGACGGCGGCCATGGGGTCTCACCTTGTGATGGAGACATCGGGGTGGTGGAACCTTCAGCATTGCTGTATACATCACCAGCTCCGCCAATCGCTGGCGACAAAGGAGGTACTTCAGCACTCCTGTAGATGATTCTGGCTTCTCCAGGCGCTGGAGACAAAGGTAGGTACAGTTCCTTGCACATTGCTGTAAACAATCCTGGCTTCGCCCTGGGTTTGCGACAAAGTAGGAACCTCAATATTTCTGTAGACGGCCCCGGCTTCAACAGATGCTGTTGACAAAGAGGGCAACGAGCCCTCCACACTGCTGTAGACCACCCTGGCTTCGCCCATATCTTCTTCGAACACAACCTGGTAAACACAACAGTTGTTGAACGTTGTGGAACATAAATCACCGTGACAATGAACTACACTGCACCTAGAAGGTCTTTAGACACACGTGAGTGGTGCCACTTGTTCCTGGCGAGGTGGTAGTGGCACTGGTGGCGACGGCCGGTGGTTGGCACACCCGCCCTGTGCCACGTGCTGCCTCACCCACACCTATTTTGAGCACGAGGGCCACCCTGATGCCCGAGGCACCCCACCCCCCCGATGTCCTGTGGGCCTTCCCCTGATGCCCCAATGCTACACCCTTGTCACAGCTGCTGTTTCAGGACCCGCCCTAACACTAAAACCATGAGTACGTAGTTAGCAGTGCAGTGCCAACACTACTGTCATGGTGCTCACCTCCCTCACACTTCATGCAGGAGACTTACCCATACGTTTCACCAGGCCCAAGAATCGAAAAAGTGACCTTTAAGGTCTAAGCGTACAGCACGCAACGGAAATATTCCTGGCTTAATTCCCTGTCTGGGCGAGATATACGAGTAAATCTTGTTAACCCTTCTGCTCCTGCTCACCTGGTAGTAAAATATTAACCTGGGTATCAATCGTCTTGTAACTGTTCACCTAGTTGTAAATAGGTACTTAGGCATTAGTCAACTGTTGTGGGTCACATCTTGGGATAAACCGCGATACAAAACTTTAAGAAACTCTAGTCTAGATCTTAGCCAATGATGCGAATGTTTAAGAAACATTCAGTACTGCTGGAGGTTCTCAAATGTTGGGTAAAAGATACCCACACAGCACCTTGTATCTACACAATGCCTTGTATCCACACAGTGCCATGTATCTACACAGTACTTTATATCCCCCACAGTGTCTTGTATCCACACAGTGCCATGTATCTACGATGCCTTGTGTCTACACAGTACCTTGTATCCACACAGTACCTTATATCTACATAGTACCCTTGTATCCACGCAGTGCCATGTATATACATAGTACTAGGTATCTAACAATTGTAGTTACAGCAGAAGATATCACTGCTCTTATATCCTTTAGACTCCAGGTAGATGCATCTCTGCTTGTGTATAATTAGCAGAATTAGGACTCCGAAATACAGATTATCGTTGTTTTTCAATTTCCTTTAGGTTCCCTGCAGTATTTGTACTCGCTTCATCATCCTTGCTCCTGCAGGAGGCAGGAGCAGGCAATGTATATTTAGCTATGGTAGGATGTGGGGGGAGCGAGGCGCTTGGAAGATATTGTCAGTGCCCATCCACAGTGTCAACCCATACACCCATCCAGTGTCACCCTACAAAACCCATCCACAGTGTCACCCCACACACCCACAATGGCACTCACAAACCAGTGACCACTAACTAACCATGGCTACCAGTTCATCTAACAATAAACAATCGCGTCATTACGATTTCGTGAGTCATGCAAATGATGGATGGTGAATGTATTAATATTATGTTTTTTCAAGGAGGAAACGGTAAACCCTCACGGACCCAAAAACACACATTCTCCCTAGAAAGGGGAGAGTAGCTTCAATTCCTTGGATCAAGAGCTGTTCACCAGCATGAATGTGTACGCAAAAGAGAAGTTAAAATCATATGCTGCTGTGCGTGTGTTCTATCAGAAAACGCATAGTGGCAGTTGTTGATGTATCAACACGTGACCTGACACACACATAGTGGCAGGTATTGATGCATCAACACGTGACATGACACACATACATGGCCACAAAACCGAGGTTCGACCCTTGCAGTCGCAAATAGACGAGTACCGTACTACACTGCTCAGCAGTCAGTTCCCTCCAGCGTCCCACTGCTCACTGCTGAGCAGTCAATGCTCAACAATCAGTGCCCAGCAGTCAGTGCTCAACAGTCAGTGCCCTCCAGCGTCCCACTGCTCACTACTGAGCAGTCAGTGCCCAGCAGTCAGCGCCCTCCAGCGTCCCACTTCTCATCATCAAACAACTATTACCAGAACTCAGCAGGTGGTGAACACTTGTAGTAGTGTTGACCACCTGGAGTGTTCCTGTTTTAGTCTGCCCTTGTGGCAACTACCACACTGACACAAATTTCTGCACTAAAACCACCTAAATCAGCTAGGTTGTGATGGCTACCAAGGTTTAATGTGATATAACGTCTATCGACTATATGAAGGTTATTAAGGCTGCAATTCACCTGTTCACAACAGGATTAAGATAAACTCTCGATGTATTTACACTAAAACACATCACCCTCAAAAGGACACACACCTCTAGGAAGATTTTATATGGGTTATTAACCCGGATGCTTAGTAAACTGGGATAACCCAGTAAAGTCATTGTTTCTGCTTATCCTCTTCCCCGGGATGTGAACAACAGTCAGCTAACACCAAGGTACCTACTTATTGCTAGGTAGGTGAACAAGTGTTAGGGAACATACCCACGTATCCATGCGTCACAAGATCGAACCCAGGTCTTTTGGTTGTGAGCCAAAGGCGTTGCTAATGAGCCACGAAATTGTGGAATGCTAGCAGCCATAACCTGGTGGATCAAGCTAATGGAAATCTATTTTCATTGTAGAGGAACCTTGCAACCAGCCACAGGTACTTCACAAGTCAGCGGTGCTCTCTCTCGACTTGCCTCACCTCGCAAGGCATCTCTCCACCCATCTGTGAGTGGGTGGGCGGATGAGGAGTGTGTGGCAGGTGGGTAACAAAGGAGATCCTTAATTTAATGGAGAAGTGTTGCTGGCTGTGATCCAGCAAGCATCACCATCAGTACCACCTGTTACCACCACTACCACCTGCAGTCACCATCACACCCTACTACAACCATCCTGCAATCATCAACACACCTTACTCCACCACCTTCAGTCACCACCATACCCTTCTCCAGCACCTACAGTCACTATCACATCCTCCCACTACCCCTCCTGTTAACCCTACAGTCACCCCTCCCGTCACCCCTTCCGCTGCTCACACACACACACACACACACACACACACACACACTCACACACACACACACACTCTTTCCGGTCCCTGTGTATGTTTTTAAATGTTAAATGCCAGCCGCGGGTTACATGTCCCAGTCCTTTAAATGTTCGACTCAGTTTTAGTGTCTCATACACAAACATAATTACACACCTCAACGCAAGCCGGAGATATGCTACCGCATTGATACATAACCTGGAGATATGTTGTCTCTGGTACGTAAGCTAGAGGTATTTTTTCAGTGGTACTTAAGCGAGGCACATTGTCAGTGATAGGGTAAGTTTGAGAACATTGTCAGTGGTACGTAACCCTTGAGATACGTTGTACCTCTCCTGTGCGTAACAAGAAAGATCGTTTCTTTTTTTTTGGTAAAGTAAGTGAACTACCTGTGTAAATTACCTAGACTTATACCAAAGCGAGCAGCACCCAGTGTCACAGGTGGGGAAGGCAGCTGAACGAGGTAGAGTGCCTCATTCTCCACCTCAGCTTGGTTTTCGTGATGTGCCTGGAGTTTACCTGGAGTCGCTTCCGGAGGCCACAACCCCGTGGCTCGGTCCCAGATCAGACCTCTTGGCTACTGGCCTATCCACAAGCTGTTTGTGTCCAATTTCCGTAGTCCAGAGTAAGCACCACAACCCGCTTGATAGGGAACTGTTTTGGGGAATCTTTTGAGTATTTCTTTTTGAAGACAGGGTTTTGTTGGTAAACTCCTTTATGCATAAAGGGTGTTGAAGAGTCGTGGGTTTCCCTTTAAAACTTATTAGTTAAACTCTCATTGAACTCATCGCTTCCCCTGCTTTTTCACTAGAGGCATCCTGCACCATCTACGAAATCTTGTGTGTTCATAAGAAGTAATTTCAGTGTGCAGGTTTGGGACCAATCCCTCCAGTATCTTTCAGGTGTAATTAAAAGTATCTTCCTCACCTACATTCTGAGGATTACAGTTCTAGAGACTAAGTAATTTAGGGCTTGACAAAGTTTAAACGAGCTGTGAAGGTTCCCTGAATTTTCCATCTTATAGTTTCGCCTACCTTGAAGGGTCATATTACACAGCAATATTCGACCCTAAGAGAACGGTGACCTTAACAAATATCATTAAATTGGCATCCCTTTTTTTAAAGGGTTCTGGTTATCCTCTATCTTTCTTTTTGCAGCTGCGATAAAAACTTGTTGTGCGCCTTTGAACTGAGATCTCTACATTACACCCCCCGGGTTCTCCCATTTGACTTAGTTCTGTTATAGATTGGTTTGTCTTGTACTTTGTTTTAGTTTTATTTCCCCTTAAACCATGGCGTAAGATTGAAATTTGTCCTCGTTGGCATCATATTGTCATGACCCACAAAAACTTAGTTATTAAGAAAAAAGGAACGCTGCAAGAGGCCTCTGGCCCATGCGGGGCAGGTCCAATTCTCCACCGGTTTAAGCTAAGCCCTAACCTATCAGGTCAGGTACTTTCATTTAAGGGAAGGGAGCACGGCACTGACATAGTAGCACAACTAGTCAGGTCCACTCACACCCACCCACCCCCCCTCGTGTATTTACTAACCTATTTTTAAAACTACACAACGTCTTAGCTTCTATACGGTACTGGGGATTTTGTTCCACTCGTAAAAAAAAAAACAACTCTATTACCAAACCATCTTTCCTGTACCCTTTCCCTGAATTTTTTTTTCCAACTTAAATCCTTTGCTGCGAGTCCTGCCTAGGCTAATATTTTTAGCACGCTATTTACATCCCCTTTATTTATTCCTTTTTCCATTTTATACCTCAATCATATCCCCCCCTATTCTACCCTTCTAGACAGTGCAGTTTTCGGCCCCCTCAGTCCTAAAGGGGAAAGATTTCTGTACAGGGGATAAATTTTGTCACCTCCCTTACGTTTTCCGTGCATTTAACCCATTCTGTAATAGGGTGACCAAGCGTTACAAATCTAAATGAGCCTAACCAAAGTTATAATTTGAAGAACAACCGAGGACTTCTATTTTTTTATATTTCTTGAATGAACCAAGGATCTGTTACCCCTTTTTTTGGGAAACACAAAGGTTTCAGATTACTGCTAACTAGAACTCTTAAACCCTTTTTCCAAATCATAATAAAAAGATATACAATGTAGTTTAATGTGGCAGGGTTATTTTCCTGCCCAAACTTTTAAACTTTGCATTTGTTTTTAAAACCATCTGCCCTTCTCCACCACCATCATCATTCAAATCTCCGGATGCTTAATGTCCCGTCAGAAAAATTGGGACGGCCTATTTTGATGTCTCACAAATTTGCTTATGTCGTATCCCTCACTAGCGTTTATTGTAAATAACGGGGGCCCACACTGACCCCTAGGGAAACACAGCTTGTGACGTCCTCCTTCTATTTCCCCCTTTATGCAAACTCTCTGTTTCCCTTTTTGTAAACCCAAAAGCCTCTACCCAAAAAAAATTTCTCCCCCTATTTTATGTGCCTTAAGTTTCCTCAGACCCTTTGGGGGTAACTCTACGAAAGCCTACGACGTCCATATACACAAAAACATATTCATTACCTCCGAAAATACCTTAGTAAAAAAAAGTAGTAAATTCGTAACAGGAACGCCCCTTTGTAAAACCGTGCTAAATTCATTAATATAAACTTGGGGGTTCTATAAAAGTTTATAAGGAAAGAGCTTTGTTTCTAATTTGGGCTACTGTTTTCTAGCAAAACGGCTAATTGTTCGAGAACCAGTAGGCCAGGTCCGGGACCGAGCGGCGGGGCGATAGTGGAATGAATAAAAAAAGGGACACAACCTTTAAAACCTTTTATAGGTCAATTTTCTAATCTAAAGATAGTACAAATTTAATATTAAAAAGTTAAACACACACAAATAGGGAAAACACACACACCCTTTCTCTCTTC